GACAGACAGATACACACATACATACAAAAATTATGAATAAAGAACACATTAAAATAGTCATATTGTTCAACATTTAAATTAATTCACAAACATATTGATGTGAAAAAATCACTTGACCTCTGGTCATAAATGATTCTCTTAATCATTAACTCTTAATTTAAGTATTAATTAAGTAACTCTGTAATTCCTGTACACATTATCTAAACATCCTTACAGGTTTTTTTTTTTATTGCTTTGGCGCAATTTTCACAAGCAACTGGTACATTTTCCAAACTCTTAGTACTAATATCCCAACAGATCATCAAAAGTGCACTGTTTTCAAACATTTCAGCATATTTTCAATTGCGTTAGTACAATACACACAATCACAAAATATCCTTTTCACTACACAAAATAATGTTTCATCTATATAAATGTTTCATTCACAGCAACTGCCTTTCATAAAGCTATTACTATCAAACTTTTCATTAGCATGACTTCTCATTCAGTTTAATGCATTTATCTATTATTTAATCTAACATCATCTTATCTATAAATATAGATTCAATAAATATTTCGTTTCTATAGAACGTGATTGCAATTTAGGTATAACCAAATGCACTGAATTATTTTTACACTAAAAGTGATTTATCTAAGATTATAACCACTATTTTGTAAGGGTGTGTGTGGTTCAGGTAAACCCTATTTTATGGGGACAAACTGTCCCCACAAAAATAGCAATATCTGAAATCATTGTCCTTTTTTGGGTCCAATGAGAAAAAAAATAATTTTCGTAAGGGTAGGTTTAATGTAGGGGGAGACAGTATAAAACCCATTACTCCTATGGAATGAACCATAATGATAGGAATACCTGTGTGTGTACCTACTTACTGTAATATTTTGGGGACAAATTGGTACCCAGATATAAAAAAAAATTGACAAAATCACCTAAAACCTTCCTTTGAGGACATCATCATTTGTAAAACCGTGTGTTTTGATATTTGTGGACATACAGCAGGAGACAAGGGAGAGGAACTGATCAGAGATTGATCAGAGACTCCGGTCCTCGCGCCGACGAGGCGCCGCCCTCCCGCCCCCCCCCCCCCCCGCGGGGGGGGGGGGGGGGGGGGGGGAACAATCCAACGCTCTCCATTGACTGGAAGCTGCCTCCTTGTCATCTTATAACAAAAAACTTATAACAAAAAACAGAGCAATGCCAAAAAGCTGCTATGTGACAAGGTGTACAGTAAACAAGCTAAAGAAAGCCAGAACTACACTGTAAAAAAAATTCTGTAGTTCTTACAAAATAATTTTGGCAGTTGTGGTTGCCAGAATAATTTTGTAAAAAATACAGAAAAACTGTGAAACTTTTGTGTCCTAAACGCTCGTTTTTTTGGGTCGACAGCTTATAAAAACGTAGTTCTGGCTTGTTTACTGTACACCTTGTCACATAGCAGCTTTTAGGCATTGCTCTGTTTTTTGTTATAAGTCAGAAAAGACAAGGAGGCAGCTTCCCACGATAGACAGTCAAAGGAGAGCGTTGGATTGTCCACCCCCCCTTCCTTTGGGCGTGGTCTTCAGATTATGACGCGTTGCACTGTCTCTATAGAAGCATTACCATGGCAAAGACTGCACGTTACTATAACTCACCCTTCATCTGAAAAATTCAGCTAGAATATAGATTCAGTGATATTGCACAGTGAGGACATTTACTGCATTGACAGTAGACTCTGTTCTAGCACAAAACCTTATGGCCATGTCATACCTTCATCACACCTTTTGTGATAAATACCTTTACAAACATTATTGATTGTATGTGAGATATGCAAGTTAGGTAATGTAAGTGTATTTTCTAACATGACAGTTATTGCCTGTATTACTGTAATTATTTCAGCAACAAAGGTGATTTGAAACATGAATCTTGCATTGTTTGCTCTTGAATGAACTGATTGTTAAAAGTACTAAATTGAAAGAAGATCATACGGTTGTGTTTTGGTGATTAATTCAAATGTTCTCAATACATATCACAATGATCTTGTGTTTTGAAACAATGATGAAAATATGCACAACTACAATGAAATCATGAGATCAGGTTTTGAAAGAATGACTAGTGGTGTTACAAGTGATCGGTTTAAAGGTTTGTATACTAAGAGTTTTGAAAATGTACACTTTACTTGCGAAAATAGTACCAAACCAATTTAAAAAAAACTGTAAAACAATATTTATTATTTTAATCTTTATCGTTAATTATTTTAAGTATAATATTTTCAAATAATTGTTTTAAAGCATAAAACTCACTCAGTTTAGTTAAATTTATGCTTGAAACAAGAAAGCTGCCTATTGGGTTTAGATAAATAACTAATTTAAAATTAACTCTCTGTAAAAAGGTCTTAACTTTTTGCAATTTTGCTTGCGATGCAATGCATTGACTGCCGCTGGGAGGACAGACAGTGATCGATCACCTGAAAGAGTTGGATACGGTCATTGGGTAGAGAAACCACAGCGACTGACCTCCAGCGCCTTAATCACTGTTAGTGTGAACGTCCCTTACAGCGGTTTGTTAACACGGTTTCAGCTGATGAGCTTCACTACTGCACCATCCCACTAACAACTCCAATATCCCCACCCAGGTGCTGCAAATAACGTTTCAGATCTTTAATTAAACCTACATTTCCCAGAGGTTCCCTTCCCTGAATACAACGCGTCGGATGACTGCAACTGTTGTCAAATCTAACAAGTACGCATGGGCTCCGTTCCACCCAGACAACAGCCACTACGTCTGTTTCTCCCTCCCTTCCATTAATACTGTAATTCATTGAGAAGAGTCTATTACTGAAAGCACAACTAGTTTTCTCTGAGCACTTCAGACAACTAAAAAACCATCACACATCAACAAAATCAATTCTAAATGGATCTGCTGTAGTGATTATTCTTTACAAGTCCGACTCTAAATACGCCTGTGTGGCTGCGCGGTAATCTGCCGGGCGGCTTTTAAGTGCACTCATTCGGTCACCTACTGTGCAATAAATCCCTTTATCAGTAAAAAACACCTTTTTTGACGCAAGTCGTTCAACCTAAAAAAACACTATTATGAACGAACCACAAGGAAGTCTGCATGCATTTAGGAGCTTCTCTCAATTCTCTTGTTTGTGTAGCTGGAGAATATAGCAATAATAATAATAATAATAATAGTAATTAAAAAAAACTTGCAATAAAATACACATAAATAGAAATAAAATAGAATGTAAACAAATAAAAACCTTTACCTTATTTTATGTATCTTTTTCATTTTGTTTATCTTGATTCTGAAATGTTACTAAAATAACTAAAACTCAAATAAAAAAATAAATAGACATTAAAAGAAAACTAATAAAAACAAAAAACTCAATTACTAAAACAAATTACTGTAATACTATAATTACGGTAATTAAAATGAAAACAAAAAATATTAAAATAACTATTTATAAATATTGATACCAAAACTACACTGTGTATGTGTGTATGTTGTAAAAAAATTATTTTTGATTAAAAAAGAACATTCAAAATGTTTAATTAAAACAAATACAATAAAATAAAATAATCAAGGCTTTTTTAACTAAATTAACATAATATTTAGTAAGTTTCATTCACAAGTTAACCATTAATGTGCACTAATATTACACTACTAATTAATAATGCATATATTATTTTCATGAAAACACTTTAAAGAGATTTCCATGACCAATTTTGAGTAATTATGCAAATTATTGAATTGTTGAGACTCAATTCAATAAAATTACAGTTTGAACTGAGTCATGGAAATGACTCAAACTTAAACTAAAAGTAATACGTTTAAAATATTAACTAATGATAACAAACTAATAAGTTAATACATTTAAATCAGAGATGCTATTAAAACATCTAATGACTTGCAAGACAAGGATTGCAGACTTAACCTAATGGCACAGTCTTTTGCAAACTGAATGTGCAAATAAATAGCAATATTCACAATGTTTATATCACCAGCAAAATCTCTGTCAATATTCTATATATGCACAGCATATTTCCCTCAGTCTGTCAGCTGCACCTCAACACAACACCAGCAAACCCACATTTGCAAACACCAACATCTCCCCATCATTTCAGCCCATCAATGTCACAGCCTCCACCGGGACATTCTGTACTCCTCCTAAATGGATGGATGTGTGCAGCTCTTTAGCCGCCATTTCTCTCATTCATTTAGTGGCTGGAGGTGTGGGGAGCTGATAGCCGACCCATAAGCACTATTACACATGTGGCCTGCATGCAAACGGCTGTTTAAATGCAGTGCCCTGTTGCCTGCATTAAAGCCCATTTTTCTTCACAGCTCATCAGAGCTCAGACACATTAGGTGTCTGCTAAAGGAATGAACTGAAACAATGACTTAAATTCAGCGTGAATGAGTTTCACACCACCTGCTTAGTAAGGAAACACACCACAAAATTAACATTTAGATGGGAGGGTCTATATCTGCATAGTGATGAAGCATAAAACATGTAAAGAAAAAAACATGAGACAGACAGACAGACAGACAGATAGGCAGAACAATGAAATGATAGACAGAATGATAGAACGATAGAACAGTAGAATGTTACAATGATAAGAGAGTGTTAGAACATTAGAATATTAGATAGAATGTTAAAATGATAGATAGAGCGACAGATAGAATGCTAGATAGAACGATAGATGGATAGAATGATAGATAGAACGTTAGATGGACAGACAGACTAAACACAGTGAACAGAGTGAGGGACAGAGTTCACCAGAGAGTCCATGCATGAACGGCTCTTACAGTAATAGGTTAGAGTGCATTCAGTATCAGAGAGACACTCAGTGAGTGTCCTGCAGTGAGAAACATTACGGCTTCCGATCCCTCAATCAAAAGCAGCCACACTGTTTAATCAATACAGAAAGCACTTTACTGAACATGAGAGCACAGAGACCCATCTGGCCTGAGGGAGAAAATACACTCAAGCGCGTGGGGAAGAATGAGACAGCGTTACCTTTTTGGCTCTTTGGCTTATATTTGGTCCTTTACTAAGCAGCTTTTCATTCAAGTACTCTCGATTCTACAACACAGAGGCAAGAGGGGGAAAATACATAGCATATATCAGTGACAGACCACTGTGAAGCACTGGTTAAAGCATTTGAAGTATGGCGGGAGAGTATACTGCCGTACCTTAGCCTTTTGGAAAAATTTACATTTCAAAAGCTCGGCTGCAGTGGGCCTGTGGAGATGAGAAAGAGCGCTTGATGCTGCCATTTTCAGACAGTTCCACATTTCAAGACACTCAACAATAAGGATTTTTTTGTTGTTGTTCTGGCCAGTAGTTCAGATATTACTTGACCTGGCGACATTTTCACTGGCCACTGTTTCAAATTTGGAGCATGCATATGCATGCATAAATAAATAAATGTGTGTGTGTGTGTGTGTTAGATCACTGTATTTTATTTAATATCAATATTATATAAATATTAATATTATATCATATCTATTTGATACATTGAATTAACTTTTACTAAGTCCATTCCAAATAAAATATTTTATATTTTATATATTTTATCAAATATAGACATTAATATAATATCTAACATAAAATACTGCTATACAATATATGTTCCATTAGTTTATTGTACAGCGAAATCTATAATTAGCCATTTATATCAATATTGCTATTGTTCTATAATTTTAAAGTATATATATATATATATATATATATATCACACAATTAAAACTATTTATAAACACTTTTGATTCAAGCCCAACATTCCAAATTATGCATTTGTAATTATGCATTATATTTAATAAAATATAATATTTGAGATCAATCTATCTAAAATAATATTTTAAAAAATAAAATAAAATTAACATATTAAAATGCTACCATACAATATACAAGTCATTAGTTTAATTTACAGTACAATGTATAATTAACTAGTAATTTATATTAATATTGTATAGTGATACTGCACAGTCATCATGTTACCATTATATCAAATTATTATAGTCCCCCACTATAGCCCTACTACCCAATGTCCATTGTGTTGACCAGATGAGGCAGCTGATATAGAAAGCAAACAGACCAGAAGCAATTTATTGTCTCAAGATCGCATTAGTTCATCCGTATCTATTTGAGCTACTTTGTCTGTGTGGCATTTCTTTTATTGACTGCGATTTATCTTTAGAGAGACCAAATGGCGAGCAAACGAAGGACAAACAATGAACTGCTATTCAATAATATACCCAACACCATTGGAATCAATATGTTTGCTTCTAGTATTAAGGCCTTTGCTGAAGCTTCTGGTCATGCAAGGAAACAATTTTGAAGTCTGCACACCATTCAGCATTCTGAGACACAAATTTACTCATTTGTGTAAACAAGTAAGGCAGGTTTGTCAATTCAGATTACCTCTTGGCAGGGTCCTTCTGAAGGCACAAGGATATAAGTTTTCTAAAAGATTTCCCATACTTCTTAAGCATCTCTTTGTCGTCAACCCCAGTCTCCAAGGTTGGAGGATCGTTCTGCAGCGTGAGCATTAAAACCTGCAAAACAGCAGAAAGACATGATCAGATATGAAAACAGATACATTAGAATGAACGAAAGAGCGATAGATAGATAAAGTAGATAGATTTATTTAGATATTTATTTATTCATTCATTCATTGACTTTTTAACACCATGCCAGCATCAAGGCTATTTTCATGGCGATCTCAAAAAGTTATAAAAGACGTTTCAAATCTACACAAGACAAAAATTCTAAAATACATTCAGGTGATACAAGACAGACAGATAGATGAATGGAATGACAGAACAAAATGGATGGATGGATGGATGGATGGATGGATGGA